AATAATTTGTTTTCATTATACGCGACATCGATCACCATCGCTATTTTTGCTACGTTAAGTCCTCTATTTATCTAAGCGAAAAAGAAACTCGCATTCGGCCATTTACTCAGTTTCGGAAAAGCTTACAATATCTTGGTGACAGCTTTCGTATTTGCTCGATGCCATTGTTGCTCGAGTGACCGACAACTTAAAGTGGAAAAGTTCTTCGGATCGTGAACGTTCCGAGTTGCCACATCGTAGGGTTATTGCAGATTTCAGGCGTGTCCTAACAATTCACAACAAGACCGTTGTGTCGCTATCTCGTTCGAGATGAATTTCTATTTCTCTCGTTCAAAAGTTACGAAAGCAGTGACTCGACGGCTTGTCAGATTACAGAAGAGCGACAGACTATTGACCAAACCCGCTAGTTCTCCGTAACGCGAAGAGACGTACTTGATGCAAACGCCGTTATTCAACGATGATCGATGAGTACGGACATTTTTCTCGGCTACCCGATAGACTTGTTCGGGGGCGAACTAGCGAAAGAGAGAGTCAAATGTCAGTCGGTATCACGTCTCTGAGCGAATCGCTGATGTTTTTGCAATAAGTTTCAAGTTGATGCGATCGGACCGACAGCCCGTTGAACGTGGATAAAATTAATGAGAGGTCATTGTAACAAAAGTAGAATTCGATGAATTAAAGATAGAATAAGCTTTGAAATTGATAGACGGATGAGGAAAAATGTTCAAGTATTGAAGATTGATACGCGAAAAGAATATATTTCAAATGTTACGTCAAAGTATTTTAAATAAAAAAAAATCCACATATAAATATTTTTAAGACAAAATTTAATATAAAATTATTGAACTCTAAAAATTTTATTAATATGGCGGAAACAAATAAAAATATTTTTTTACGGAAATGTTACGGTGACTTCTGTCATTTATTGCGATCCTTATGTACCAATTGAATTTTTTATTTACTGGTGGTATTCTGGTGGCATTTCCGTGACGCGTATTTTCCCAAGAACTCACGGATAACAATTGATCATGCTACAAGCAAATGTTGAAATAATCCTGAACGAGATTAAATGGTGGGGTGTAAATGCTGTGGTGGAATTCGCCGCATACTCATCCGCATAGTTAGCCGCGAATGGTCAGTGTGTCGCGTAGCAGAATAAATAAATGATCACACGAAAAGCTCGCGATGTCCGTGAATTTCTTGGTTTGCCTCTAAATTACTGAATGTTTAAAATAAATGTATTAAAGTAGTAAATGAAAGATATACTTAACTAACTACGTTAATCGTTGCATTAAGAATTCATCAAGAATCAATTATCTTTGTGAGAAAAAAATAAGCAATTTATGGAGATAGAAATCATTGTAAGATAATAGTTTGATAATTATTAATGATATATATTATTTTCTTTTTGATTAATATTTATGACTTAGGATATCGATAGAAGATTTATCGAAGAGCGCATATCCGGCAAATGCCAAACACACAGCGAAATATGACCGCCTAACGCCCATTACGCACGTTCGCGGTTGCTAGAAGCGCAATTAAATATTTGGAGGTGTGCATCATAAGCAGATATGTTCTGTCATTTATAGATGCACGTCTAAATATCTCGCTATGCTGCTAGCAAACGCAAACGCAAACGCAAACGTAAAGGCGATCACATCTCGCTGTGTGTTTGATATTTGCCGGTCGAGTACCGGCAAAGTCGGACGAGTACGCGCTCGTTTGACAATTTTTAATAACTTGTTACTAATTGCAAAAACCGTAAATGGTAGAACTTTCCATTCAGTTTGACCCGCTCTACTTGCATACAAGTGGTGTACTATTATGAATCAGACACTCTGTGTG